TACAATTTCGAATTCTCATTCGTAGCACTCTCTGTAAATCAAATTCCATAGAATCTTTTCTTGCGCCCATAAGATATATACAGTTATGGAAAAAGAAAAGGAGAAACGTACATGTACTTTACAAATTTTAACAAGATTCATATTAACTTGTTCGAGACGAATCACACACCAGGTATGTGATCGAGTACCCAGCCAAAATGACCTATTACACACCGCGTGTGTAATGATCATGAATTTTTATTATCAGTTAGTATTGAAAAATTAGCTTACTTAGTAAAGTTAGTATTTAATAAACGAGTAAGTTAGTAGTACAAATTGATTATCAGTAAAAATTAGAACTTGTACTGGTTTCAAGCCAAGACCCTATGAAAAGTAACCCACAATTAGGATCGTTGGGATTGAAAAAAATGAACAGTAATGGTGAAAGTGGTCATTTTTAGTTTTGGCTCCTGGAGACGATTTTTAAAAATATCCTAGTCTAGAAAAGATCAAAGTACGTCATACTATATAATTTTTTCTTGTTTGAAATGTATCTTTCAATTCATTTTGACCGTTCTTAACCTCTTGCCCTACGATATTGTGTTAGACTGATGGCAAAGACTTCAAACAGAATTTAGCAAACATAAATGGCACTTAATTCTTCCAAGTCCAAATTGAATATTATCTTTCTATTACTAATTGTAATGCTTAATTGAGATAGTTCTGACGAACGCAGTTGCGGAAGAAATCTTAGTACAAAGGGTTAAGATTCAACTGATCAAACACTTTTTTCACACGTTTCCTAGTTTCTCCTTGTGTTTTCGCGAAAAAATTACGATCGCGGGGTGTTCGGTGTCTCGCCAACGCATACTGGGGTATTTGACCCGAAAAACTGAAAAATATTACGATCGCCATGATTTTTCAAGCATTTTCATAGTCTGAGAAAAAAATGTTTCTACCAGAAGTTAATCAGTATTTAAATGTCTACAAATTTTAATTTAAAAATTTCGAAAACAACATTTATTTTACAAAAAATCAGGGCTACCTTGATTTCTTAAACATTAAGATATATTTTTAACTTTATACTGTTATACCTGTGGTTAATACGAATTCGACTTATAATATTATGGCCTTGGGCTTATAAATAGCATTAAAATAGTTTTTCCGCTTTTCGGGTCAAATACCTTACTGCGTAAAGATTTGTCAAAAGAGTATTTACGCGCTGTAGAGTAACAGGAATCCCGTTCGTCCTTTCGGCGCGAAATTTATCCGCGAACCGATGAGTTAATGGGCCGGCGATCTCTCATTCTTCGTTTCCTCGACCCAAGAATTCCCCTTTCGCAGACTGATGGCGACTGGGAACGATAAAACGAGAACACGACATTACGAATTTATATTTCGGAACGGCCGGCCGCTTTATCGTGGTCATTCCGAAGCGGAACGCGGACAACGAAAGATTCGTACGAGTGCCTTATCGCGAATATTGATCCTCATACAGGCTCTTGTTCCTTTTCTCGTTGAAAGTGTTGAGCAATCTGAGAAATTAGCAAGGCTATCGAGAAACATCACAGATCTTGACTTTGCGATGGCAGACCTGTTTCAATTTGTAAAGGGAGTTTTAAGAAATATGGGTATGGCTGCTATAACTTTGAATAATGAATGTGAAGTTCTTTGTGACTTCTGATTGTCATGTCACTCTTATATATTCCTGCGTAGACAGTGTAATTGTGAAAACATTGTTTTCTTTTTGTTTAATACGTTTATTTGTGTGATGATTTCTGTGATTTTACATTATGATGTTAGTACTTATATGCCTTTTAAATATGTCTGTGTAAGTAATAACATTGAGAATTTCATTTTCCCTTTTTACAATCACAAATATGTTTTCTATTGTGACTGTTTTTCTGATTTTATATTGTGATTCGATAAATTGTTCTTTTTTTAATTATATCGAGATTAAACGATGAAACGTCTTAGAATATTTCTGTCGCAATTCCTTTGTGATTGTAGTAGAATGTGCAGAAAACATTCTTCTTTGTGACATCAGAGACAACTTGAATAAATTTTCCAAATCTCCAGTTGAAAATTTTGTTCGTCCCAAAATGATCTTGTACACAGGTTGGGTCGTTTATATTCATCACTGTATCCCATTACTGGTAACAGTCCACGTTCGCTCCGATTTGACGCGGTTGTGCGTCACGTGTTGTCAAAGCGTTAATTTTAACTTATACAGTCAGTTTACGGGAGATGGGTAATAAGCCGCATTTAAAAATATTTTGTGTAGCAACAATTCTCGTCCAGGCGACCGTAGATCATGGAGCGTCGTCGAGCGCTCTGCTCGCGCATATTTGCCTCTTAAAATATTTTGAGTTACGATGGTGTGCATTTTGAATCGATGGTTCTTATTTTCAGTATATTTTTCTTGTTACAATTTCCTAAAAGATGTGACTTCATTCGTCGTATCTCTGAATTTTATTACATTGGACAAATTGTTTCGTCTGAACTATATTCCATCACTATAACTCATCACATGATTAATGGGCATCACAGTAAAAATATGTTGAAACTGTGAATTCAGTACCTGATTTTGTCATCTCGAATATATCGTATCAAATATATACACAAGTGTTCGTAATTTATCATAAATATTAGTCTTATGACATCAAATTATGATATTTAAAAATTCGCAATGTATTCAGGATTTTGAAAAATTTATAAGCTTTATAGTGACCCGTTCTACTGACAAGTAGTCATTTTTGTAACTTTCAATTGTAATTGCACGCGTTTGTACATGTTTCAATAATTTTAGAAGCTATTGAAATTTTCAAGATCATATTTTATATGAAAAGTATGCTGATTTTTTAAATGTCATAAGTGTATAATTAGTTTAAAATTACCGTGTGTACAATAAGTATGTAGGTAATTTTTGTTCGACTGGCAAACACGATTTTCGAAATTTCTTCCACTGACTTTTAAAAAAAAATTCTTTTTACGACCTCAGACTGCTGTCACGCCACTCTTCCGTCGACATTTACAGATCAGAACGTATTTCGAATTTTCCTTTTTTTTAAGGCGTCGTTTGTCATCTCGTTTCCAAAAATATACGATTGGAAATTTGCATTCCTCGGAATACACGTTTACGATTCGTGTTTAAAGATTGATCAAGTATGTACGTTTAGGTTTTCACGGGATTGTACACTTTTCGGTTGTGTAGCGTCGAAGGTGTACATCAAAGAAAATTCGCGGCTGTTGTAATTTGTCGTTCGATAAACAAACGTCGATGCTTCGAGCTACCGAAGTGATTCGGCTTTCAACTCGAAACACGTCCGTGCTAAAAATAAATAATTCTGAGAACGAATTAAGCTTTACCCACGGGACTTACTTGCCGGAAGCTTTCTTATCCTTTTGTCGAGTGTATAAACTTTGTTCAAAGTAATATCACCCGGTGCGAACTTGTCGTCGGACATCAAATAAATTACTTCGACGATTTAGGGGAATTGGATTTATATTCGAACGAGAGGTAGCGTTAACTGAGCAGTTGAATTTTAGAAGAGGGAAGGTTAGAATGTACGATTTGAAAGAAAATAATACATGATTCTATAATAATCTGTGAAAAATTGCATTGCAATCGAATATTCTGGTTACTTGTATTTTCTATTAGATAAGTGCAAGACATATTCGAAAATCTCTCATTTTAACATTCAACTTGCTAAATGTTCAAACCTACAAACATTTAAATTTGTTTAATTAAAGATTTTCAAATATTCAAGTATACAAACTTTTTAATTTGTAAGTATTCAAATATTCAAACGTTCAAACTTTTAAGTTCTGTAGAACATACACGTTGTATACATGCACAGAAATTTGATAAAAACTAACCACTATTTTTATGTAAATGTGTCGATCTTTTAACAGTTGAATATTTAAAATTTAGCCATGTATGCACACGTTCATAATTGACTCTATAGAGTCCATCTTTCTTCCTACCCCTTCTGTCGGCAGTTCGTTTCGTGTTGTAACAAGAGCAGCCGGTCGAGAGCTCAAAGTACCCGGCACAACAAGCTGAGCTTTCAGAACGCGGAAAGCGACGCCTGAAATTTCGTTCCTCGCGTTCCGCCGCTCCCATTTGAAGTATTCTTCACCGGGACGAGCGCCGGTAATTCGGTCGAGGGATTCTTCCGGCGTGCTCTCGTGTCTTACTCGTTCTTGCGCGCTTGGATCGTGACGCGACTCGAAACTGCTGCAGCGAATCACCCCAGTTATCTCTTTTTCTCCGTTTTCTTTCATCCCCTAACTGCGTTCAACGACATTTCGTACATCGTTCCTTCTGCTTCTTTCGAAAGTGTTCAAACACTTCGATTACTCCAACCACGGTTATCCATTGTTACCTAGTATTTTAGATTTTTTATTTTTTTTGGCTTCTCTTTTACCCCCTACCCACATCCAACAATGTATTTACTTCCAAGGAGCTGAAACACTTCTACTACTTCAGCTGTGTTTATTGTCATCTAGATTCCACCATGTTCCACCGGACATGAACGTTTTAAAATATTTCCACCCTTTCCAGCTACATCCTTTTTCTTATTCTATCCACAGAGCATACACCCAGAAGTCTGCTACAAATCCAAATGCCCTTATTTTGTAAAAATTCCACTGGAACTCACAAAACGAAAAACTCGCAAAATCAATATATCGTCCATCTCATGAAAGATTAAACTCATCGAAAAAATAATCTCTAGAAACATTAGGACCCACCATGTAGCACAAACATATACATCAAATTCTAAAAAAAATTTCAAAATCAAATTCATTCTTTTTCAACCGTCCACCTTTTTAGCTACCTACATCATAAATTCCATAAAAGAACTAGCGGATATCCAAATAAGTACTCCCAAGCGTCACGATCGATGATCGACGGAAAGGAGGTTCACCGGGCTGCCATTGAGTCGGCCCGAAAGCAGGAATATTAAATGCGCTTATAAATAAACCGTAGGAAAAATCCGGACAGTCGGCGATGCGGGAGCGTGCGGCGTGGCACGCCGCGCTTCTGTTCCGACTTCACCGCCGGCGCCTCTGCTATCGCTGCCGTGGCAGAGCATCCGCACAGGGACCGCACGCGCTCCGCTTTAGTTCTCCTCCACCTGTCCGCCGCGTCGAAATACTCGACGTTTTCGAGTATTTCGAGAACACGCGGTGGTTGTGTCCACCTCGACCGCGGCGGCGCCTCCGCGTTTCTCTCCGTCGTCCCGCGTTCCCCTTCAGTGATCGTCTTTTTTCGTTCATCCCCTAACGTGCTGAACCGTCAGCTTAAAGAGGCAAGAAAAAACCAAACCAGAGACACCAAAGAGTTCATTAAGAATTTCTCCGAGTACCGAGGAATCTAAAGAAACTGTCTTTAGATCAAAGGAAAAAACAGACTCTGGCTTTTAAGTTGAAGATCGAAGCCCTTAGACACCGGAGATCGAACTTCGAGGAAGCAATTTCGAGGACAAGATCAGCTCTCGAAGTTCCCTGCTGGTCTGGCTCGTCAGGCTGGAGAACGGGAGCAGAGGAGCTGCAGGGTGGAGATTGCTGATAATTCGAGGCCGGCGATGCCAGGAAAATTGAGAGATACGAGGAGAGGGAGGTGGATCGGAGTTTGAGGCTGCCGGAGGTAGTCACGTGGCTCGTTAGAAGGATCGCGCGGCTCGACGGTGGTTCAGAGAAATCGGGAAACAGGTTGTTCGGAAAAAGTGGCCGGGGTAGCGACCGGTTCGAGGACGCGATGAACGCGAACGTGGTGGACGGTTGTGAGCGTGTGCTCGCGGAAATTTGCCGGGGAGGATCTAGAACCGTGTAATTCCGAAACTAATTGGTTCCCCGATGATCGCCGGGGAAATTGCGGTGGATGCGAGTCAACGGGCTGATACAGTGTTAAAACGAAGTCAATTCGAAAGAGGTAATAACAGTCGAGTGAGGAAGTACACGGATAAAAAACTAGTTTGAAGAAAAATAGTGAAGCTTCTATTTCTCGGGCAATATTTCTTACCGAGCGAGAAAAACGAGAGATTCATCGGCCAATTGGTTACCCACGAGATCGTTTTCGCGAGGACTGTAAAGGTGACGGATGAGAAATGTTAATACCGAGTGATCGATGCGAACAGGACTCCGGTGTCGAAACGAATTTGTCAGCGGCCTTTAGCAGATCTCGTTTCGATCAGGTCTTTCTTTTTGCTTGGCGCTCTTATCTCGGCTACCGTCGTCACCTCGTTTCTTTTGAAAATGTGCATCTAGCTGGCGAATTCTTTGAGAAAATTAATTTTTCATATTTACTTTTGTAATTCCTTCTGTGATTCGTGTTCTGATTGAAACGATATTCTCTTGAAATCTGTTCGGAGCATACTTTTTCACCGGTAGACTGTGAAGCTTAGTTGTAACAGTCTCCCGTGGGGTGTGTAATGAAATCAACGTAAGACGAGTATACACGCCGCGTTGAAATAAGAAACTAATGCAAAATCGACAAGAATCACATGTTTACTCGAAGAAATAAATCATTGTTGAGAAAATTATTTTGGGTTTTAAGATGACGAATATATTTGTCGAGAACGGTTAACTGATTAACGGAATCAGTGAGCAGATCGATTTCGTTCTGATGAAATTTGGGAATTTTGGATTCGCGACTGGTACCGATTATGTGAATCGAGATCGAATCGAACAACGGCGTGGCATCCGAATCGTTTGACTAATTTTCGAGACGAATATTCGCGTGGCGGCTGGGGGTGCAACACGCGTGCAACTTCGGTGGAACGGTTCGGGTCGGTTCCCCGCGATTCCGTTTCCGTTGCTGCCTAGCTGAAATAATACGCCGCTCGAAATACGGTGGTGGATCACCGACGCGGATGACGCAACCAATATTTTGAAAGCCACTCGTGCTGTGCGCTTTGCCGAACGTTCGCGCAAAATTCAAGCCGTTACGGCCGTATACCGGGTGTGCGCGATGTAAGTAACACCATCTACACCGACTTATAGAACTTTGTTTCTTCCTTCGTTTCTCGAACTGGATTCATCGAGTCAGTTTATTTAGGAATGGGATGCTTAACGTGTTAACCGTGAGTGACGAGTTAATTCGTCATTAGGAAAGCGCTACGAGCATTAAGAATTAGTGTGTCTTTGGAAAAGACTTCGCTGTAGGTAAAACGAGTTAATTCATCACCGAATGACGGATAATGAATAAGACGAGTTAACTCTTCGTTGAGAGGTATATATTACTGTGATGATTTTAACGAGTTAATTGCATACTAATAAACGTGTCTGTAGTGGAAGATGTTACGTTGATTACAGTAATATTTACTAATGACGAGTTAATTCGTCACTGCGGAAACAGTAATTAAGACAAATCGACTTGTTATGAACATTCAATACGTTTGAGAATTACACAAGTGACGTTTGTTCTAGATTTAATAAATTCTAGTTCTTATTTTACAATTAACATTCCTTCGAGGAATTTATGTTCTATTCCCGTACAGTATTTCTCAATTGTTGCTATACCATTTTTTTCCGAAGATTTGCCCTATTTTCTTCACAAAATATTTTCTTTCGGATTTACAAGCTCTATGTATTGTTACAATTAATATTCTTCTGGCTTATGTTCTGTTTCTATATAGTAGATTCTTAAATGTTCATTAAATCGTAATTTGAAGTTAGGGCTGCGGCCCACGAAGTGTTTTGCGAAAGGAATTCGTCGTCGATCGGTAGAAATGAGAGGGCGAACGTGCGCTCGTTCACACGGACAACGTATGTGTGTTCGATCGCGTACGCTCGACGCGAAGTACGCGCGTTAACGCATCGTGTGTACTTAATCACAGACGAGCGTGTTCATTCGTGTTACGTACGCTCGTCTAATCAAAGCGGCGTGTACCACCCCCATCGTTATCACTAATGACCGTCGTCTTGGGTCAAGTTCGACATTCATTATAAACGACGAAGGCTTCGTTGGCACGAGATCGAAACCAACACGCGTTCCGATCACAATTCCTTTGACCCGCCCTTTTCTTTTTCATAGAATAATTATTATAATCATTGCTTAATGCAATTCTTCATCTATAATAATAATTACCTATTAACTATTTCATATTCTTAGTGATTCTTTTGCTTTTTGGAATTATAGATAACAGTATTCTATTTTTTAAATTATTTAAATTATTAATTAGAATATAAGGACACTTGTTTAAAGGCCATTATTTATAGACCATCAATCTTCTAAACGGTACTAAGCATTTAAAGCAATCTGGAATTGAGATATTTGAATTGTACTTATGTATCATTTTATTCGAATCGAATTGAACGTTCAAAATGGTGTTTAATGTCGACAGATTCGTTTATGTTCCTTTTTTACGACGCGATCCTGTATATTGGTAAATCGAGTGCATCCCCAGCGATTCTATTTCGCGGAAAAAGATCACGAGGAACTGCTGAGCAACTAGCAACGCGGCCAAAGATCACTGTCGAAGAAAGGAACGATGGTCCGGGACCCTGAAGCTTATTGAAATGTAACGATCTATCCATCGGACAAATAAACGGCCGTCGGTGGCGTCCGATCCGGTTGTTTGCCAATGGGAATTATCTTGGCGTCGCGAATCCGATTTCTTTCTGCGGATCCCCTTCGGGCTTGCACTCCGTCCTCACCTCATGTAAAAATACACAGCCGCTGACGAAATATGTTTACGATCGGTGATTTATATCCGCCAGGTCAGCGACGCGATCGCATTCTCCGTTGCGAGTCTCGTATTTAATTTTTTTCAAAACGACTCTTAGCGGAGAACAAAAATTGGAAAAGTTTTACTGATTTATTAACTGTTTGTTTGTTGAAAATTGATTGGGAGTTTAGACTTGGATTAATTGCTCTGTTTTTAAAAATAAAGTTGACCTCTTTCTATTGAGAGCTAAAGTTCTCAATTTAAAAATTGAAAATTGAGGTTATACGTATCGATTGTATGTATATTAACCTGAATTCAACAAATAATCTTCGAATTTTAGAGCCGTGCGCGTTTTCACTAATACATTTCTGGAAACTAAGGACGATTGTAGATTCCGGGGATCGCTCGTTAGATTTGAGAACAAAGGTTAACATCCGTCGGAGAGTGTTTGGTTCTTTGTTCTAAAATTGAATTATTATTGTAGAAGGTTATTAGTTAGTAATACCGGCGATCGGTAATTAATTGATTTTACCGTTACCGTGTGCATCGGTGAACCATGCGGGATTTAACGATCGAGATCATCTTGCCAAAGGAGTTCTGCCATTAAAATATGATTTAACCCGTAAAGTAAAATGGCGGACTGATCTGTATACTTTGAAACAAACCGCGGGGAATACTACCGATAATAAATCGCGGCTTCTGTTGCTCTAGCCGAGTGTTGTTTCAGAAAATAAACTATCCTTTATATCAACGGCTAGAAGACTTGGGTAACAATCACTCCGAAACAGTGATCGTTCCACGACCCTGTCGGTCCTCGCGCCATACCTACTCGATTCGACAAAGATTTACCCGTGTTAGGGATTACCACGTTCACTGCTGTTGGCCCTGATCGCTATTGCTCTACTTTATCTTTACCTTATCCATTAAATTACGACAAACAAACAGATGTATCTTTTATGATATTGTAACACAGAAATGCATCATTTCTGCCATTATAATTCTTAGCGAATGTCAGAGCCTCAGATCTAACTTGTTGCTAATTCATTTTCATTTTAACGTATTCTATCGTGATTTAAATATCTCAATTATAATGCTTGCTTATCTATTTTAATTAATTACATTTAATCATAATTTAATTATTCGAATAACAAAAGACCAATCTGTGCTGTTCCTTTTGTTTAGTATTTCAGTATTCGATACGTATCTTAGCTTCTTTACGTTGAAGTTTCTTAATTTTTTAAAAAATCTTCAAAAAGTTAGTACACTCTTCCACATAAATAAAAGGTTGCTATATCACGCTGTAGATAATGAACGTTTTTTAATGGATAGATAACAAATGTCGTATAAATCTAAGAGCAACTCGTATCGGCATCTGGCATCCATATTCTGTTTCACATCGACAGCGGGCGTGTTGATTCTTGGACGGCGCGGAAAGATGCCCGCGAATAAACGATTCGCGGTTGTTGCGCGACGATAGTCGAGCCGTGAAACGACAACGCAGCTCTGCGCCGCGCCGGCTTCTAAACCGGGCAAGATTTATCGGGTAGTTTGCCAGTTCGGGTCCACCGGCCGGCTGTTTATAATTGGACTCGACCGGGAAACACTGCACGCATGAATATCGATTCTTTGAAACCGCATCTCCGCTGCTTCAGTTACTTTAAGCCTTGACTCTTCTTCCTTCGCACATGAATTTACATTTTTCTTTTTTAAAACTTTAGAGAAGTTTGTAGTTCAATCGATCCTTTTCCAAATCGCTGGATACGCTCCACCCTGTTTGATTGATGATACTTTTCCTCGGATAAGCGACATTGCTTTCTCCATCTTCGGTCAGATTTTTAAACAGCTTTCTAGTAACAGTTCTTCTGAATTGTTTGATAATTTTTCCATCTGATACAATACATTGTCCTCATTCGATAAATTTTCAATATTGTAATAATTGTTTTAGGAGCTAAAAACCTCCCTAGGAACTTCTAAACAATTCTCCTTCAAAGTGCCAAAGAAACAATTCGATACTATTAACAACAATAACAAAACACAATAAAGTGCACAAATAGAGCCCATACTCGGTCCAATCAATCGCAGCGTAGCACGAGATAAGAGCGAGCGGATCATTCGCGACGCGCTAGTTCGGACACAGTGATCCCCCAAAAAATGCCTTCGTTATGACGTCGGCGCACCGCAGCCCGCAGTGAGAGGAAAAAAGGGAGTAGCTCCGATAAATCCGATTCGCGAGAAGACAACTCGCCTCGGTCAGCGATGCTGAAGAATTCGACGACGAGGCAGCAGCAGCAGCAGCAGCATGGTGACGGGGGTGGCGGCAACGCAGAGGTTCCTTCGTCCGGGAACTCTGGACCCGGTAGCCCAACCATAATCGACCAGAAGCCGAGGAAGAAGCTATCCTTTAAAGAGCCTGAAATCCTGAACTACCTGAGATCGAAGAAGCCGTTCGCGAAGCCGAAACCAAAAGCGAAATCAAAACCGCCGCCCCTGCAGCTGCTGGCCCAACGGGGCCCGAACGACTTTAGCTTTGATGAGAACCCCTTCGAGGAGGAGAACGATGACCTCGAGGAGCTCGAGGTAAAATCCGTGCGCTGTGTGTGCGCGCGAGACTCGCGAGAGCCGCGGGGATCGTTTATGGGGTAAGGTGTCACCTATGTGGTCTCAGCTGTGACACCGACGGCGACGATCACGCGGATTCATGGGAAATGTAAACCGGGGGACACGAGATCCGCGGTTCTCCCCGCGCCGCAGTAAATTACGCGGATTGCGCGGCGTTTGATCCTGCGACTTTGTGCGTGCGCGTGGGCCGGGCGAAGTAAGGGAAATGTCAGATACCGGAAAACGTTCGTGCGGCTTTTTAAATACAATTCCAACGGAGTACGTGTTTTTGTTAGATAATTTTATTTTATTTGATACCAACAGCGTAAACCATTTGTTGGTAATAACAATTTAATCCATTGAACTAACGAAATACTGATTGAAAATAACGTTCCAATTGGATGATACATTCAATGTTTTTTTATTTTGTTTTTGAAATAGGAGGTCATTTTTTATGTTAAATATTTTTCTCTCTTTGATACTCTTAATGTTAGAACCACCAAGCCTTTGGTATGATTGATATGTAATTTTTATAAAAATTGTAGCAACTTTTTTCAGTTTCTTTGTATACTCGTTATAGCATTGCAGTAGAATTGTTTTGTATTTTTAACGCTTTTCAGACATCAGTAATTTCGAGATATGAAAATTGAAACTCGTCACTTTGGTAAGTGCGGCGGTTCTAGTATTAAATCACCTCTGATGTGATGTATTGTGAATGAATCAGTGGGGAACGGTTTTATTGGACTAACGCGTGACAATATTTTATTGAGCGATTTTTAGAATTGGAATGTTAGTAATATTAGTATTTCTTATTGAATTTTCAATAAGAACATTCGTACTCAATCTGAGATTTCGAAACTAAAAGAATTAAATTGGTGGTGATTGAGGACAAACTAGGAAAACAATTATAGTTCAAAGGGTTAATATTACATCTTTAATAAGTGTTAATTTCAATATTTAAGACTATCTTCATAGCATGTGCTGCATCAACCAATTTTGTTTGAAATCGTGAGATCAGAAACATTGGAATAGTCGAAGCTCTAACGGGCCGAATGTTTCAAATAAAATCGTGAAATGTTTGAAAACTTGAAACTTCACATTCTCCAAACGCCTCGGTGCGCGAATGTGTAAACGCCGCCGAAGCTAGCTTGTTTGAATATTTCCGATGGAAACGGTTCGTCTTGAAATTTGATGATTTCACGTAATATTACCTTGCATCTTAGTATGTACGTATTATACAGGGTGTTCCGAAAATAAGGAAGAAACCGAAGAATTTCTATATCTCTCGTACAAAACTAAAATCTCTTACATTATCCCTGGCGATACGCGAGTCGGTTCTGACCTTTCTCAAAGGTTTCACATAATATCTCAATTTCCAATTCAATTATTATACCCACTAAACACACCAAAACACATTTCAAAAAACAACCACAAATAAAAGTCTGAAAAGACCCAGGCATCTCTGCAATACTTATTTTACTCAGAACCCATTGGAATTCTTAGTAAATCATAGGAGAACCCACAAAAATTTATATTTTGCCTAAGTCTCACCTCTTTATTTGGGGAGCACCCTGTACATACGGATCACGAATATTGCATTTATTAGCGGGTCCGATTGAAAAAAAAAGTTGGATTTCGTTAGAGCCAAGCGATGAGGGTGGTCAGGACGGTAGGACAGGCGTTCGAGGTGTGCCATAAATTAAGTATAAACAACGCGACGGAGGACCGCGACAGAGGAGAGAAGGAGAGGGAAAGGGACCACGGGGAGAATCACCGTGACGTTTACGAGGACCAAGACGAAATACCGAACGAGCAGTCGCAGCCGTCGCCGTCTTCTGTGCACAAAGGTTTTTAATATCCCGACTTCTGTTCAACCATAAAGAAGGCCGTTTCTTCGGCCGTTAACCCACCCCTAACATTCCTCCGGCTACATATACTGTTTACGATCGATTCTAACACGCTGTTCAACAGCTGATGCACGTCGGATCGAAAACTCTCATACTTTTACGTCACGCGATCGCGGTACGATCCCGCGCGCTTAATCAAACAACTGATTTTAGATATATCGCTGTTAGGGGACCCGGAGGACTCCGTGCCGGAAAAGACGGCCGTACCTTGTCTTCTCAGGTCGCACGAGGTCCCAGCTACCACAGCGTCTACCTCGCCCGTTAGACAATCGCCATCGGTAAGTTAAGTGGACAACGTAAAATTACTAAAGAAGCTATAGCGATAAAGGTAAGGGGAACTTACTGGGGAAGTACTGAAGTTACTAGAAGACATTGTCTTTAAAGTATTCGAAAGAGTTTTCGTTTTGATAATGCCTTCTGCAACTGATATAAAGGGAACTGATAGGAAATTATGGAGTACAATTGTTTCATTTCAATATTTTCTGTATTATTTTATCATACAATATTTGATATTTAATATAGAATTATTTAATTTCGTTGCGTCAAACTGAACAGCGACTACCAGTTCAGTTTTCTGATTCTCCGTTTTTCTTCTTTTTTTTCCTTCTCCATTTACTTAAGGCTTCTGATGTTCTCGTGTTCGTAAATTCCTTTTTAATCGTTTTCGAAGGGCACGGTAACCTCCGACTGCGGAGGATTACTTGTTGGGGGCGAATTAACCGCTCTGAAGCACGAGATCCAACTGCTGCGCGAACGGTTGGAGCAACAGAGCCAACAAACCAGAGCCGCCGTTGCCCATGCGCGATTGCTCCAGGATCAGCTTGCAGCTGAAACAGCAGCCCGTGTCGAAGCTCAAGTAAGTGACACTTGACATTCGTTTAATGGATTTTCGATATCGTCTACTGTGAGCGTGATATCTACACAGTGCTCGGAATCTTCGAGTGAACCTTATCTTAACGTATTGTCCATCATTTAATAGTCTTTTGAAACCATTAATTAACAACCAAGAAGATACTTTACAGATCTTTAAGTAGCAATGACACTCGTAATCACGAATCAGCAAATTTTCTATGATCAAATCTTATTTAAAATTATTATTTAAAGAAAAACAAAGCTACCGAAACTTGTCTACCACCTTAATTCCATTATTGCGAGTTAAAGGTGCATCAGCGTTTAAAGCAAATGATTTGCGTATAAGTACGGTAAATATTCCTAGTATTTCAATAGCAAATAGATGCAACTAAGTACTACTAGTCATTGGGGATGCAGATTGTTAACGAATAATTTGAACAGAAATGATACATCATATTGTCTCATTAATTTTTCACCATTGTTTCTTCCATTAGGCAAGAACACATCAGTTGTTGGTGCAAAACAAAGAGTTATTGGAGCACATAGGCGCGCTGGTCGGCCACCTTCGGGAACAGGAGCGTATCTCCAGCGGTCACGTCACCTCGCAATCGCAGATGCCCGGTACAACGACGATACAACAAACAACCACGGTTCCTGACTTGTCGAACCTCGGCCAGGTAACGCTCTATCGAATACCCTGACACAAGTGTTCGACAGCCAGCAAGAAGCCGTGTGCGCGTGTCCGCGAACGTTGCATCTCGATTAACGTT